AAAAAAAAACAAAAAAAAAAAAAACGAACGAGCTACGAAAGAATGCTAAATTTAAATAAAAGTAATAAAGTAATAAAGATATATAATTACCGAAACATCATAATTCTTGTAGTTAAAGAGAGTGGCCAGGATAGTGATTTCCTCTCCTCTTTGTACAGAATATGGCATGGAAAGATAGATGAAGAAAGGTTTGAAGGTTGTGATGTGTAGTGGCTTAGCGATACCAAAACCAGCCGAACTGGACACTCCTATCGCCTGCACCACCCATGTTGTCATGGTATCCGGTAAAGAAACAGGTAAGACCGCTGAACCACATTTATGCTGAAGCTCTTGACTTAGTAATGCTCTACACTCTCCGTTTCTTTCATGTTGACTGATAAAGAATGAAAAAGAGTAGTGTTTAATTAAGACAAGCATTTTTTTTYCCTTTATCTCCAAAAAATGGATACCATATTGCTGCCTTTAAATACTAATTTACTAAAAATCAGCAGACCTATTTTTCTAATTCATTGGCTTTCCGTGTTAGGGAAGTACTTCTAAGTACTAATATCTATGACATTTGTACCATGGCGTTGTACGTTTTAAAAAGTTGCCAATTTAACTTTTCTCATTTATTTGAAGAAGGCACACGTTTTATATAGTGCCCTTTACCTCTCAACGAGATTCCATACCGACTCACTTTCAGCCTTGCCGATAAGTGAACCTAACAGCAGCATTCATTTGAGTTAAATAATGATTAGTATGTATTCCACCCAAAGAGCGTTGATCACCTTATTGTTAATTCTTTGTTGATCCAAGTTTCTGGAAAGTATTGGCGAGTTTGGATGTTTAAAGCATCGTCTTCTTGTTGTTCGTCTCCAAAATCCAGTGCTTCTAGGTCTACGCCACTTCTTGCTCGTGCGAAAATACCTGATTCTGATACGTTCAAATGGAATAAAGTAAGAACAAATATTGGGGATACATATGATAATGGAATGGACGGACGGACGGACGGACGGACGGACGGACGGACGGACGGACGGACGGATGGATGGATGGATGGATGGATGGATGGATGGATGGATGGATGGATGGATGGATGGATGGATGACGAGTGTTGAAAGAGAAAGAACTTAGATATAGCTGAGTTCCAGATGGGATTTGAACCCACGACCTTCAGTAATCTAGTTGGACGCTCTAACCACTAAATAACCACGAATAATTAAAGTAGATTTAAAAGTGGTACGCAAAAGCGAGCTTAGAGGTTTTTAGAGTTTCATTACCATTTCTTCCAAACTTGTGTATGCAGCACATCCAGAAAGTCTTCCTGCAGTCATAGCGCTGCTTTGCATTGTAAATCCCTACGTCTAAGTCTTTTAGCCGTCTGAAGCAGCTTCTTTTTATCGTGTCTGTTTTGTTCCCAAGGCTGCAACAAAAGTCGCGGTGCTCTAGATAAAAAATAAGGCATATGTTACGGATTTGTCTGTCTGTGTTTGGTTCAATGGCCATACTTGGGGTTTTTATAGATCCTTTTTGGCCGGAATGGTCTTCCATTCAAGATTAATGCTCCATTCTCTTTAGTATTATTATTCATTTTGCTATTTGAAAAAGCCAAAATGTCCTACTTCGCCCAAACAAGAGATCACGTCACCTTAGAACTGAAAGTTTTCTAACCTTCTATTGATCTTCTTTCCCTTTTGTGCTCCCCTTTGCATTCTACATTTGAAATAGATAAAAACGAGAAAAGTTAATAAACCGATTTGAATGTATGTTTGTAGATAAGACGGAATTACTCCGATCTAAAATATTGAAGATGAGGGAAGGAATGCGATAGATTCTCTCTCATTAGTCTAGTGGTCATTGTCTATCCCATTACTAATTCTGATCCAAAATAAATTTTCAATTCATGCTTACTTTGCTCTCCGGATACCTCTATATCACTCGACAGTACCACCATTCCAGCATTCTAAAAGCAAAACGAAAGATAAGTTTTAGAGATGTGAACTTTCCATCCCGCTCATTTGTTATTTCATTCACTTGAATAAAATAGCATTCAGCTATTGATGGTTTTCAACCATTCCCAAGAGAATTAAATAACAAAAGACACGGCGGCCATATTGGAGAATAAAATTCATTGACAACTCTTGTGTTAAGTTCCTCCAACATGACCGCCGTGAAAACCATCAATTGTAAGCTTTAGGATCCTCAAGCATGCATAATCAAGTTGACTTGTAATGTATGTGTTGTGAATGCTTTTCGTTTCTTTTGTGTTTGGCTTGTTTTTATATGGGACCTTGTTAGTAATAACTTCAATTCACGAGGTCTGACGTTTTCATTTCGACTTAGGATTTTCATCTCGGTCGTATATAGTTTACAAATAAATAGATTAAAAATCAAATATTCATGCCTTATTTTAGTCATTTTAAATAGAAATCATTATTTAACGTACCCTAAACATGTCTTCGGAGTTTCTTCCACTTCCGGCACCACAGCCAAGGTCAAGCTCTTCTTGCTTTTTAAACACCTACAATAAATAGACTCGTTGATCTCAAAATCGCATATTTTGTTTAGAAAATATTTTCATTTGCTCTGGCCAAATTCGATTACAGAGAGGGCAAGGGGTGGGGACGCTTTCAAGATACTTACACTATCTGCAGTGAGTATGTTACTTTTACTCAAAAGATAAACACTTTGGTCGACTCCAAGGAGACCCACTTTGGTTCCCACAGTACCCACGATCTTGATGTTGTACGGCATTGAAGGAGGTTCCTCGTTCCTTCTGTCCGAGTCCTTCAAAAATATCTGCATAATAAATTACACTTGTGTCATAATTATGTCACACGACTAAATGATTACAATTAAAATTCCTACTAAAGTACCAACACTAAAAGAATGCAACCTAAATAGTACATAGTGCTAAATTATGCGAATCCCCTATTTTTTAATTAGAATGACTACAGTAAATCCGTGAAACACTAATTACTAAATAGTTCAAAACAGTGCTAGTTAAACAATAGAAAATAATGGAATTTGCATGAAATTGTGCTATTTAGTATTACTAAAGTTTCACGGATTTACTGTGGTCACTCTAGTGCTCAGTATATTTAGTGCTAAATAGTGCAAACTGAGTAGTGCATGCTCGTAGTGTTTGTGTACTCTATATCTAAGCTTACATATCGTATAAGCAATTCAAAAGGACAGTCCAAATGATGGTAGTTAGATGGGTTATAGTTATTATTACATGAATTAATGTGTAAACTTACAGGATTTGGGAATTTATGTTCGACTTCCAAGAGGATGCTATCAGAGACGACTCTTCCTGTCTCCTTGCTGACGTAGTAAGCAAACAAACGAGAAGATGGAGACATCGGTGATGTGACTTTGAAAGAAATAGTAGTGATGATACCTAGGAGCTTTTTGATCGTTGCACTGTAAATTATTTGCCCACGAGATATTACCTAAAAACAACAAGTGCGCAGAAACATGAGTCGTGGTCATATGCTGCGAAATAGAGTATGGCTTTTGGACTTCATTGAACAAGATAGAATGTAGAATTTTTTTAATGATTGGGTAGCAATTCTTCGATAGCACGTTACGTCATCGTAGCCTCTCGGGGGAGCGTTGGTGCCATTTAACAAAATTTTTCTTATTAGCATCCATTGTTAACGGCACCAACATGGCCGCCATGTTTTTCTGTTCGACATCTGGAAGCTTCCTTTGGCCATTTAATTTTTGGTCTTTCACGAAGATGAATTTTGATTTGCCCTTATCTATAACTTCGCATACTAACCAAAGACTTTTCCATAGTTGAGATACCATAGAAACAATACTAGTCTCTGGACAACTAGGGTTCTTCTAACGTTCAACAAAGTTAACCCTGTATTACAGCGCGAGGCGCTAAAGTTTGACTACATTTAATGTATTAGCATACATACCATACACGGTTTTTTACTGCCAAACTAGCTTTTGCAAGCTTAATTTGGTAAAACAGCTAGCTTTGAATAGAAATGTGACGATTTCACGTACACGAGCCCATGCTTCAAAGTATGCGAACACATCAGTTATCGGCGGTCGATTTTTCATTTTACGTCGCGCAGTAGGACGACAAGGGTGGTGCATTATAAGAGCTTTTAAACAGGTACTTCTTGTCAATTTCGTATTGATTTAATTTAATACTCACAAAGTAAGTAAGCTGGTCTACAGTTTTGCTGGTAAGTACGGCATCACAGACGGCGTTAGTTCCGACCTAAAAAAATAAATATCAAGTTTTGTTTTTGATCACAGCTTATAAAAGAACTGAAGGAAGGCCCAATAAATATGCAAGGAAAGTAAATGAAAAGAAAATAAGTCAAAAAATGTTATCTTACAAAAAGAAGAAATATATAAAAATAAAAATTAAAAAAAAAAAAAAAAAARAAATATTGTAMAAGTCGAAAGATTTATATTAGGCAGATTAAGATTCCCGTTTTTGCTTCCCGCAAACTGCAAACGTGACCCCGCTTTCATCGTTTCCCTACATTTCACTTTACCTTTTGCAAACCTTCTCGACAAAGACAAGTATTCTTTTGTTTATCTACTACTTGGAGWTTTTTGCGATTCCTTTTCACTAATTTTAAAGAATTTTTTAATGGTCAACTGACGTTTCACGTTTGCCGTAAACGAGAATCTTAAACTCTCTATTGATGCCATTGATCAGGAACCTTTTGCACCACAGCATTACGTACCCTAGCTGGTTTATTTGTCTGCCTTAATTTCATCAGCTCGTGGGATTCAGATGCATCCATCACCAGTTCCTTGAAAGCATTCTGTTCTTTAGGTATATTCTGCAAGTTTGTTTTTACCTATTTTGATACACAGCAAATAATCTAGTAAGATATCTTGCTTGTGGGAACAAAGACAATGTTTTTTAGGAATTCTTAAATCCATAGATACCTTGATTTGGAGCTCTTTGACTTGTCGTGCAATATTAATAACGAATTCTGCTCTACCATTATCATCAGTGTTTGCTCTATTCCAATTGAATCCACTGCCTTGAATTTGTTTCGGGTCTGATGCATTGATCTTCCTCCCATCAGTTTTGAAGGCTTCAACCAAAACCTTCATTGGAATTTTTCGCGCAACTTGCCCATTAGTGAACTTTACTATTACCTGTTACAAAAGAAAGTAAAGTGAATTAATGAAACAGAACAAAAAGCGAGAGAAAGTAATAGATAAAAGTAAAGGATAAAAAGATATGAAGGGGGTTGATAGCTTAGATGGGTAGTCCTTCCATTAGGCAACTTATAACCTATGATCAAATCCTCTCAAGGGTCTGCCACTGAATATTTTTATAGAGGCTAATTATTTTCTATTGATATGACGTTCCCTTAAATTACTGTGGACGCAGTACGCTTCTTAGTATATATTTCAAAATGTCGTCGGTCGGAGATGTGAAATGTGAAATCTGAGACCGAGTAGTATATAGCACGCTGCAAAACGTGATATATTCAATGCCAAACAAAGTAGCCGGTCTTTTTAGATTGGAATATAAAGTATTATTTTTTAGTTTGATTTTTAGTATTTTAGCCAGAAAACATTAAAGCTCAAAAATTCCGTATAGTCTCAGATCGCCATCTTATATAGATTCCCGACCGACAACGTTTTTTGAAATAGGCGTACAACCAGTTCAAAAAACGTTCTCGATCTGAGAACTGAGATGGGCAATCTTAGATTATACAGAATTTTTGAGATTTATGCTTATTTGGCTAAAATAAGAAAAATTTCATTGCTAACTCGAAGGTCATGCTTTATATTCCAATTTAAAAGGACATTACGTGGTGAATATAATACGATAGCCCATTTGCACATTTTGCTACCACTAACGATATGCGTCGCGAATTTTTATTCTACTTTGTATTTCCTCATGGGAATAGTAAGACAGTTGGTAGTAATTAACTGAACAAATGAAAGTGTGCAATGGATTCTGCTAGTTGTAGTAAATGACGCAATAATGAAGGTGAACTATTCGGAGCGTGCTAATTGTTCTCAGATTCCAGATTTCAGATATCCGACCAACAACGTTTTTTGAAATAGGTGTATATCGTTACATACCACTATTGAAAATGGTAATCCTGGTTTAAAATATCGCGCTGTGTTGACGTATTCAATAAGGTACGGTGTCGTCACGAAGTAGACAGACCTCTCCACTGCTCTCTCTGTTTTACCTGTCGACTTCTCTGTCACATCAGCCTCGATATGAAGGCGATAACCTTCAGGAAACCACTTCTCGCGTAATTTGGTTTTAATTCTGTCCATTTTTATTGGGTGCTCAAACTCTCCATTAACCAGCTTTAAAAAAATACAACACCAGAACTTTAAAAAAATGTAACGTATTTTAATTCCTCTGAGGATGACCGTGTCGGTCGAAAGCTAAGGAAAATATAAAATTATTTTTAAAGGTTGGTGAGTCAATTTGAGTTTCATAATTTAAAAAAAAAATTGTTTAGTACATTACATGTTGTGACATGTTTGCAAGCTAATTGTAAACCTATTATTTAGCTAGTGCAACCATCTATCAATGTTTTATGTAGCTAAGGCCTAGGGCAAACGTCGAACTTTCCATGCACCGAACTCATGAAGAAATAGAAAACGCGCGCGCGTGCTGTGTGCTGTCATAAAGCACGCGGGGGTTGGCAGAACACGAGAGAAGTGTTAGGAGAAGCACGACGCGTAGCGGAGTGCTTCTCGACACTTCTCGAGTAGTGTTCTGCCAACCCCCAAGTGCTTTATGACTGCACACAGCACAGCAAGCAAGTTTTTAATTTGTTTTATAAAATACAAATTACAATAATAGTAGGAATGACGCAACGGAAAGTGCGCGCGCGTGCAATGTGCTCTCATAAAGCACGCGCTCCAAACCAATCAGAACGCGACATTCATAACTGTTATTTTATAATTAAAAACAATGGATATCAGATGATAATGAGGCGGCATTCTTTGATGTGATTAAGTTCGGTGCATGGAAAGTTCGACGTTTGCCCTAGGCCTAATTCCCTTTATGTTTCATTTTGACTCCAAGCCAGCAATATCGCGTTCTATTCAATATTCAGTAGGAGAAATGTTTTGAAATAAGTGGATACCCATGTCAAATATACCTATCTTTCTAGGTGAAATTGAGTTATAATAACTTAAAAAATGTTCATCGCCATGTACAATAGGAATTGCTTTTACCTTTATTTTGGACGTCGACAGAGACATTGCCTTTTCCTGTGGATTTCCCGCGATACTCAGTCTCACAGTAGCTGTTCCTTGCACAGGTTTTCCATAGGTATATCTGTATCAAACATATCAACACAATGAGTAATAACAGGAGCCCATAAGAAGATACTCACGTATTTTTCTTAGGAGTTATCATTTTTCCAGACCATATATATTTAGAACGTTTTCCAATCGCTCGAAAAAATAGAGAACAAAGCTATAGTCGCTATGTTGATGGTATGAAAAAGAGAAAATAATGAGGATTATTTTTTGTTATTTGACACCAATGCAGAAAAAAATAACTCCAGAAAGAGGTACTGTAATTAATGCGACGGGCGCGAATAAAAAAAAAATGCAGTCTGAAGTTAGCTAAGTATAGAAACCATATTTATTGATATAACATACTTAGCCGTTCCTTTTACTTTGAAAGAGTCCAGGGTGGGTAAGATGTAGAGTGGATTGCTGATCTTGACTGAAAACCTTGGAAGAACTGCACAAAAATATAGACGGCGCAAGTTAAATCAGAACACAGAATGCATTGCGATTTAACCTCGAATTAATGGCGATGGTACACTAGGAAAAGCCTCGAATTGTTGTCTTAATCAATTTTCAGCATGCTAAGTTTTACGAGTATGAACTAATCGTAACCGTTGCTCTTGAATCATATTCAGGTGGATCTCATCAACATAATTTGTTTAGTCTCAAATTTTAGTTAAAAAATGACTACGATCAGTCTCATGAGTAGCGTGATTATAATGCAATAGGAAGCACAACCTACAAATTATTCTGTAATAACAAATATATTTGGATACTTACCGTATTCGCGTACTTCAAACCTCGAAGATGCATTGTAGAGAAACTGTATCAAATACAAAATGGTTAGTGTTTGGCGTCAGTGTTGTGTTCGGCTGCACGCAGGCTAGGAAGACCACCGAGCAACGCATGCGCAGAAAGCTATCACAGAAACAGCTCTAATTGTTTTGCACCCGGTTTTTCTTAAAACAATTCAAAGGTAAAGTAGGACATAAAAAAATATATTTGAAGAGGTAGCTGTTAGACACATAAAAGTAATACGAACTGGCATACCTGATGACCATAATAAGCTTCTATTGTCCAGATACCAGCCAACGCATAACTGCCAATGTCGATGTTCTTGCTTATAAAACCTGTCAATATTAGATGCTACTTTTGTCAACGATGATTTTTACTTTGTATTATGATAGCTATGAGATCATATGATGGAATATGATCAACCATGATGTAGTTTTAGGTTATTGTAGTGCAATACGTACCCAAGGTGGTATTCAGACTTTCCCACTGCCTTACTCCAATGCCATGAGGATTCTTGAAAAAATCAAAATATGGAAGCAATTGAAAAGAAGGGGAGGGAGTTTATAGAATAGATTCAATATGCCATTTGCGACAAGCAGTCACATACTGATATGACTTTGATAACGAATCAATTAAGCGATAAAGGTCCCTTGGGGAAGGTACTGCTGGGTGGCAAACAAACTTTACTGAATTGCTTTGAAACTTGCAATCGGAAGTATCTCATAAGGGAAAAAGCATTTTGACAAAGGTTTTGAAAATATGACCATAGTAATCCAGCAAAAGTGACGATCATGTTTCTGGGGCTGCAGAAAATATACCTTTTTACTGATACGGGGCCATCTTGAATTATGAGATACCGAGAGGGCAAACGAGCGTAGAAAATTTATAAAGCATAGAGTCGTGGGGTTGCAGTTTTAATCATTTGAAAATCCATTCAAGTCTTGGTGTTTTGCATAAGGACCCCTTGCGCGCACTGGGTCCGGAGAGGAATCGTTCTGGGAGAAAAGACAATGATGCCTATTTTTTTTACCCCAGAACAATTTCCGTAGGAATTCAATCCAAGGGGTCTATTGTACATGTTTTAACTACCAGCAAATATTCAATTGCTTTTTTAGGTGTATTTGCTTCTCACTGAAAAGTGTAAATTAAAGTTACACCCAAAGTTACCGCTGTGCAGTCTATAAAATTTTGAAAAAAATTTCCCCTCAGCATCCCATAATTATATAACCCCATAATTACACTCCTTCCTACCACCTCTTTCTCTTTTACTCCGACGAAGGACTAGCGTCGKAAACGTCAGTAAGTTTTTTCATCTTTTCACGGTATAAAATTTACCCTTTTATCATTACATCCCATAATGTTTATCACGGCTGCCATATTGGTAAAACGGCTAAAGGATACATACTCTACATTTTTTACTCACCTTTACAACAAGGTTAATCTATAGGAAATAAAAGAAAGTTGTTGATTCAGCTTAATTGCTTTAATTAGCTTTCAAAACGAATTTTTCTCTAAATTAGAAATTTTTCTTACCTTTTTTGCACTTGGCATCAAGTCGAATCCAAGAGGAACAACCCGTATTTTCACTATTAAAAAAGTCAAACTTATTGTCATATCAAGTGCACTATAAAGGCACATTTGCTAAATTTGTATTAAGGACGTCCATGGGCATTGTTCGCGCGCATCCTTTCTGCGTGTGTCTTTGGTGCGTGTGCTGTTAGTGATATTTGATGAGAAAAGCATCATAAAAACTTCTTTAATCTCATATAGCTCTAAAAAAAGTCGGGGATCCCATTTTTTTATTTTAATTTTTGACAGTACTTTTTAATCCCAAAATTTAAAGAGGGAAAAATCTGACGATGGGATCAAATCGAAATTACATATTCTGTCCATAATTGGAATAGAATTTCACGTAACGCGAAGACTGCCTGTCTACACGTGTTGGTCAATAATATTTTATATTTCTAATTTCAAAAATTGTTCAAAAATGCTACTTAATAATCTGGTTGTTTTTCTTTACAAGTTCTGTGAAAAATGGGGACGGCCAATTTATTCTTTCAATATAAAATATGCCTTTTTTTCACACCTTTCCATGTTCTCGTTGTCTGCACGTTTTTTACCATAAAAAGGCAAACTTACGCGCAATCTGATGGCTAAATTAGTTGTGAATTCTATTTTTTCTATTTGCTTATTTTACTTCTAGTATATCGTGATGAATATTCATTGCTTTCATAGTATGATGTATTTTCATTGCTTTCATAGTATGATGTATTTTCATTGCTTTCATAGTATGATGTATTTTCATTGCTTTCATAGTATGATGAACTTAAAAGAAAAAAACCTCGATGGGATTTTTTGCTCACGATAAAGCCGACCAGTCCACTTGCCTGTTTGCTTGGGTGTATAGATCGGTTTGTCGGTCTGTATTAAGATTACTCCATCACTGTAGCTCACATTAACTTTCGTGTTTTTGGAGATATGAAGTTCTGGACCTTTGATCCTCGATAAGAGGTAAACAAAACCTCTATCCTGCGAGGATTGGAATTTTGAAACTTCTGGACCAACCTATTTTAGGAATCATTTGATGAAAAAAAAACAAAAAAACAACTAATTTACCTTTATTGTCCTATATAAGTATCTTATATTGAATATATTTCGAAAGTAAACATAAATAATAATAATAAATAAACTCTTTATTTACCGAGGGTAGCACTAAATAGCAATATGCTAACAAACCTGTGGCCCTCAAACTAACAGTTTACTTACCGTCAAGGAAAAAAGTTTTCCATTATCTGTAAAAGTAGAATTAGAAAAATCATAATTGTTCTGGAAATTGTTAGGATACATTTCTCACATTTTTATGGAAGCCATTTGTGCGCTTTACTCTACTGATAAAATGCATAGATTCTTTAGAGAATTTCTTCTCAATGAATTTTTATCATGTAATTTCGAGGGTTCCATGGGTGTTACAATCCCACACGACAAAAAAAAAAAAAAAATCCAAAATTAGAAATTTCGTGTAAAAACATTTGTTGGTATGCATGCATACCAGCAATTGTTTTCTTACGTAATTCTTTTTTTTTCCAGGAATTATATCTTATTCCTTTCAAATTTACTGCGTAAATTGAAAGTGCTGTACTACTCGAATTCTTTTTTGTGCAGTCAGTCAGTCTGGAGCCTGTTTTCACTGATGGCGCTCCCCAAAAAATCCCTACGATGGTTCCCCTCTTTTAAAAAGTTCCTCTAAAGTTCTTGTTACATGTTGAAACTTTTAGCTGAAACTTGTGTGCAACGGCGCTGCGAGACAAGTTTAAAGGGGGTGTGGTTACGCAGCGCAATTTTGTCCTAAGATTAACTTGCTCGCGACAAAAGTTTTGGTTGCATTAGTAGAAAGCAGTTGTACTCTTCGTGAAACTTTCCACTCACGACGACATTTTCACCAAGGCTAAATTGCGCCGTGTAACACCCTTATGGAACTTGTCTCAAAACGCCGTCGCACACAAGTTTTAGCTAAAGAACTCAACGAAAACAGGGCCTTGATCATTCAGTACAAATTACCTGCGGAAATCCTGTCACGTTGCGAAGCTATCACCTTAGTCTCCCCATATGATAGGAAAACACGTAATTCCAGTTCGATGGTATGCGACCATTTGACATCAAACAGTGCCACATGGATTGGTTGAGGAACGCCAACATAGAATATGTTGGGAGCTGTTATGACATAACTAAAATTAAACATAAAATAAAAACCTTTATTAGACTGCGTATCATATATATATCCATGAAAAAGTTAACCAAAACAATTGAACAAAGGAATAGTAGGTCTACGATTTACTAAACGTACTAATTCGTGCAAATTTGAGTGCGATTTCTTCAAATGGCACACCTCGCTAGCTTGAAGCATACAAATAATGTATTGCGGTCCAGATGGTGAAGAGATTGATTCAGTCGGTAATATTTTGCATCTTCTTCTCTTTCTACCTATTTTAACTTTTTTACCTTCTTTTCCTTCCTTTTTCACTTTTTCCATTCTTTTCCATTTTCCCCATTTTTTGCATTACTCTTTCCTTTTATTATTTCCCTTTTTTCTTTACTTTACAGAAGATCGTTGGTTCGAATTCGATCTGAGACTCAGAACTTTCTTTTCATTTCTTCGCTCTGTCGTCCATTTTTCTAGTATTGTCCTCCTCTCTCCTCTCGTTCTTAATAATTTTGACTTCAAAATAACTTCTGTCAGCCCCTGATTCTGCTTAACATAACATTTTTTATTTGCAATAACATTATCCGTATCTTAAATGTCCGCTCTTGACCGATTTATTGTGAAAGCTGTCCGTGCCTCAAAGTAAACATTTCTCACCAGGCAAACTCGATACTCTCCTAGACTGATCTTTATTTTTTTCTTTGGCCTGGATCGTTCTAGAATGCTTAAGTGGTTGATCATATAAGTGATGGAACTATAAGCTCTAAATAATCAACATTTCAGAGATCGATTCCAAAACGTCTGGTAATTTCAAGTTAGGAAACAAATTTTCTCTTCCGTTTAACGAAATGAATGTGGCACTAATTTACACTGATGTTCTACGTAGAATTATATTATAGCATAGCTTAATCTGCTTTACACATAGATATCGTAATCTGCACGAATTAAATGTTCTGAACAAAGTGCCAAACATTTGGCTATGCTTTACTCGATTCATACGTTTGCCATATTCTTTGCTTATAAGAAATATCTCATAACAGCCACGCATCCTCGACAAAAAAGACTTTGCTAAAACTTCTAAATAGGTAAAAAACAATAACTAATTATTATGTTTAACACCATTATATTACCTTGGCTTTGAAGAGCAGCCTACCATAAGCAGCGCAATCGTCAACAACGTCAACAACATTTTGCTGTCGGTGAACATTGCGTTTTCTTTGAACTGCGTTATCATGGCTTGGAGGGGCTGATTAGCTTTCGTTCTTAATTGTTCACTGAAGGTCAATTGACGTACCAGCTAATTGGCTGTTCTATAAGTTACAGACAGTTGGACTTATGTATCATGTTTCTGTTTGTTAGATCGCATTTTCTGGCAAGATACCATGCAAAATATACATTAAATAGGGTTCTGTTTGAACTTATCGTCACGTCTTGTCGCGCTACTAGAACGACTTCCTCGTTCCCAGAGCCGGTACTTAACCTAACGAGTTTTTCAAAAATAATATGGAATAATCATCCAATAATACCTAAATGCACGTGGTTCTTATGAAATGAACTATCACCAAGTTAACACATTTATTTCATTTCATTTTTACAAAACTTTTCATACTTACGTATTTCTGAAGATATGGTTTTATCTTACGCATTTTTTTAAAGTACGTAAATGTACTAATATTTCTTGTTATTGTCGTTTCAATATTAGAGCCAACAACCATAGGTGTATCCGCCGCCATCTTGTTTATACAATACGACCGCTATGTTATAATTTGAATATGCGATACAATTCCTCTGTAGCACGGAAAATATCCCACAAATAGCATTTCCAGCTCAAAATTGGGACATGCAAAGGCTCTCACGGGATCAACCATTAGTGAATGGAAGAGAGGATCGGATCGGGATGGTTTTTGCTTGTTTCCTTTTTTAAGTATTCACTGGTTTCTTTTGAAGTTAGTAGGGGGTCCCTCTATCATTCGATTTGGTTCGCGTACATCAAATATGAGGGGAACTTTCCATAAACACAATTTAATCGTGTGCAATGAATGATAACAAGCTATTTTATTTAAGAAAAAAGGCCCCCAAAGTCGAGAATGAGACTCCAGTCAAATGGAGGGCTTTGCACCAAAACGTGAAACTGAACTCCTTCTTGAGTAAATCAGATTACGCCAGATTCAATTGTTCCTCCCTGCTTCCTGTCATGGCTGCCAAAGCCTCTATTCACATACGCAATTGTTATCCCTTTTTTTCCAAATATTTGAATGATAATTGCAAAATATTTCTGAAATACAGAGCCCCTATGGTGGCGTGAACACCGGGAAAATATTTCAATTTCCTAATTTTCTCATCCAGTCCCAACCAGATAATTAACATTTTGAGCGCGCATGCAGCTTCACAAAGTGAAAGAGAAATGTCAAAACTCAAGATTTGGAAAATGATCACAACCAGTAGGAAACTGTTCAAAATATGAACAATCAATTCGTATCTTCCTACTTAAACTCCCGGTCAAACCAACAACATGCAACCAAGCTAATCAAAAGAACAAAAATCAGAACATTTATTTTTTAAGTTATTGATCGTCTTAATCATTTTATAATATATTTTCAAATTACACTAGCAGACCATACAATTTCTTTTTTCGAACCTAAACTATATGATATAGTATATGTACTTAAAGTGCCTATCACCCTTCTGACAATATTTACAGTATTGATTCTACATGGGGTAAGATGTCGAATAACCTGGAAAAAATTCATAGTTTGAGTCTAGCTTCTTGTAGTTATGAAGGTTTTTCCATGCCATATGCTAATGCTGTGACGTATGAGGAGGCATTTATGGTTATTTGTTGTTCCTTGTAATTCGAAGAAACGGCGTCTATGTGAAAAATTGCTTGCAATAATTTCTATAAGAGCAATGGGCAAAACAATGACGTATTTCAAATTTAATTTATCTGTGCCAGTAAGGTTTTGTATATTAAATGATTACTCCTCATGCGTCACAATATTAGCATATGGCATGGAAAATCCTTTATAACTTCAAGAAGCCGCACTCAAACTATGAAATTTTTTCGGGCTTTTCCACATTTTACCCCATGTAGAATGAATACTGTGAATATTGTCAGAGGGGTGATAGGCACTTTAAAAGCCTAATGTATATTCGCTTTAATTCAACCAATTGCAAAGCTTTGTGAATTATTCCTATTTTTTTAAGCCGTTCAAGAAACAGCTACTACGCCTTGTGCTTTTATACCTAAAACATCCTATTTGTTTATTAAACACTACAAAAATAGTATATTTGTATATACATATATATATATATATTTTTCAAAACAAGCACCTATTATTTGCTGTTCGAAATATAAATTATCATTAAGCATGCAAGCTCTGTGTTCTAAGCATAATTTTGAAATGCGCAAATCACTATAAAGATTACTCTTACTGGTTTTCAACCTCTAGTTTATCCAGAGCAGGTCGATTTCACGTCATAAGGCAAACACGTAAACATAAATTCAAACATGAATTCATAGTTTACACCTTCCTTTACCAATCCTCCGTGCTAGTTCAGTCACGTCCCTTATGTCTCTAGGATGAGATAATTCCTTGACAAGTGAGTTAGAATCAAAGATATATTGGCCGTGTGTCATTTTCCCCATGAAGAGAACTATTTGGTGTCGCTTAACGCTAGGATAATTGCAGAAATGTCTTTTTCGAACATCAATGGTCTCTTTAACTTTTATGCCATTTTTCCCGTTAATTACTTGCGTAACCTTTATGGAATACGTTAACCACATGTTGTCCTCACCTACGTATACTACTTGGCCCTTGATAGCTAAAAAGAAGTAAATGTGCATGCATATAATCAGCCGAGTATCAAAGATGACAAGTGTTTTTCTCTTGGATGGGTAAACTGCTAAGTGTTACAGTGCGACTACTACAACCGGGGTAACCTAGACACTGAGAGCCAATCAAATCGTAGAATGAAAGTCAAAAACAATGCCGAGTTAATGTCGATCCAATCAAAAGCCTAGACTGCAATTGTAATTTGATCCTGATGGTAGTGTAAACAATTTCTCGTGAGAATAAATAGATATGATGGAAGGCAATTGTTTTCGTTAATTTCTGATTGGCTCCACTGTCCAAAGTTAGAATGTATTGCCTTCATTCCACAATTTGATTGGTTATTGCTGTCTAGGTAGCCTAAGAAGTCGCACTGTAATGATGATGATTTATGAATTTATATAGCGCCCTTTCTATGTGAATATAATGTGAATAGGCGCTTTACATTGAGGAGTAAATGACAGATTGCTTTTATGCAATTTTTACAAGCATGAGAGATGGTTAGTATGAAGTTTAGGCACTGAGGGTGGTCACTGCCAGGTTTTCTTTACGTCCTCAGTGGTTCTTTTACGTCCCTCCTATGTTGGTTAGTAATGAGTGTGGAGAGACGGGACCGCCATTTAAAGTGGTCATCCTAGCCACTTGAAAGCTAACAGATGTAATTACAAAGGTAGCACTTTCTCCTCAGTTATTTTAAGACCCTGAGTGTTGGTCCGGCCGGGACTCGAACCACGACCTCCCGCACGAAAGTCCGATGCTCAACCAACTGAGCCAACCGGTACGTTGATTTCTATAAGCATGTAGGATAAAATAATGCCATTGAGGTATAAAACTATCCTTACCAAAATCATAATTTCTACAGACGTGCCTAAACCTTTTCCGGCTGATTTTTGTAATGTCTGGATCAGGTTCAGGGCACCATTCTGCGGAAAAAAATTAAAATCACAGTCCAAAAAAAACTCATCCTGAAGTACGACGTCAATGAGAAGTTTGGGGTACGTACTATAGTCTTCATTTACTTCTTGTTGCCCATTGGAATTGTCTCTAAGAGTTAAAGCTTTTATTCAAAAAAGGTCGGGGATAGGTTATGTTGTATTTTCCACTATGACCGATGTGAATTCAATCAGCAAACAACGATATGGATTTTAACCAAACTTGTTTGCAGTCTCAGTTGTAAGGCATATTTTCTTTGCGGTGACATTATTCATATAAGAATATAATAAATTTCAAGCTTGGTAAGAAATTTTAAGAATTCAATATGCAATAACTTATTTGAAAATCTAAGCTGTATAACATTTTTTTCTCTCATTTTCTCAACAAAACCAGTAGATATGAGTCTTACTTTGTGTACATCTGCAATATTCCCCCCTGCAGCTTCCAACTGGCTTCTGTTTATCCCCCAGGTTGTAGAAAAGGGTACACTTGGCATCGGGCTCGTAATAATCATAGACTTTGATAGGTACAGGCTGGATTATCCCCACATCGAAGACTCGAGTCATGTTAAATGTAATACAAAATGGCTTGACACTGTCAATCTGTTTGATATATTAATTTTAAAAAAATGCTTTTAGAGTTTGGACACTTAAGTTTGAGTAAAAGTACCGTAACAATTTGGTATAACTTGTTACCCATTTTTGTCGGCTTTGCAAGTCGTAAACTGTGTTGCTTACCTTACTTAACCAACACAATTTTGTATCACACATTTTGTTTGTTGAATGAAGTAAAAGCACTCAATCTATACTACTCTTTGCATCAAATGAAATTTGTAAGGACAGTTTGATTAATGCGATCAAACACTGATGCTCTGCTGCAACTTTCAACATAACAAAATATATCGACTAAGTTTTTGCATTACCCAACGCTTCATAGAAAATATGTATATTAAAAGTGAAGCAACATTCAAATCAAACGTCCAAATATTTTTTGTCACTATTAAGCACATAGTCTATTCCTTACCTCATTCACGAAAAACTCAACCGCTCTGTCAGATGACCTGTATCTTGAAATGCTGCCATTTTCCTTATTTGCCAGCTGTAAATGGAACGACAACTTAAAATTTCACAATAATCATTTCATTCAAAACAACGCTGTATTGTTGGTCAGCGAGTCCGAGACTGAAGAGATTGTAGAGATATCTTTGAATGCTTTGATTTCATTTTGAAAATGCATCATTATTTATCAGGTGCTATAAATCATCGTTTACTATAGAGGATTTCTCGACAAAATACCTTCATTAAAGTTTCTTCGCTTGACCTATATCCAGCTAAACAACCAACTTCAATGACCGTCATCCCTGAACGTCCTGGTTTTTTATATCTTTTTTGTCACCCACGATAAAGGAAAAGAAAAAGGAAAACATTTTGTCAGGAAGCATTTGTTAGCAAAACCAAATACAGATAGCTGTCTAGCCAGTCAAGTTAAATCTTTGGATAAGATATTGCTTGCATTCTATTTACACAAACTAAATCAGTTTCCCCCCTCTAAAAATAATACAAAATCACGCGTGAAGTGAGACTTTGTGTATGGATTTCAATGGGCTGTTATGTATTCGAAGTCGCAAGTATAAAGCAAACAAATAAATCTTTTTTTCTCTCTCTCTCTGTAAACCACCAAAAAATTAAAAGATGAAATTGGATAGTTCTTACTGTGTGCAAACGGTCAATGCAAGTTCATCTAGAGTGGGAAGTTTCTTGAGTAAGGATATTTTCTTTTTCTGAAAATTCTTCTTCTTTTTTCTCCTTGTTTTCATATTTCTCTTTTTATTTCTTCTTCCTTTAACTGCTCTTCTTGGACGAACTTTTCTCTTGTGCTTGCTGCTTAATGATGGTGTGGAATAAAAAAACTGGTTTGGCCCATGTACAACTGTCAGATTTAAGTGATAGTTGCATCTTTCTTTCGCATGAGGAACACTGTATCTCACTTCAACCTAAAATATAGCAAAATTAGAAAAGCTGTTAAAAATGAAGACTTAGGGAAGGCTCAAAGTAATTGCTTGGTTTCACTAGACGTCATTTCCTATCAGGAACGAAATGGTTATTTTTTTWAAAATCGAAATTCTTAAACTTTATATCGTAATCTTCTTTTTCACAAAAAAAGAAAAAAATCTGTAAGAGGGAACCATTCCAAACAAATTTTATTGATTTTTACGAAATCCCTCTTACAGAATTTTATTTTTTTATTTTTTTGTCAAAAAGAAGATTACGATACAAAGTTTTTTAAAAAATACACCATTTCGTTCCTGAATTCGACTTTTGAAATAACATTTTTGATGGCATACCAAGGGTTCTGATGTTGTCATAGCAACGTCTTACATCATTTGTTCATGTTCATTGTGATCTTTGGTTTATGGTCTTTAGCTTATTTTTATTCTTAGATCGAAATGGGAAATCATAAGCTAAATATGTATTTCACAGTTGGAGTGCATAATTATAACTCACTGTCATTTGAGCAACACCAGTGCCTGAAGTGGTAATCTTAATTTCCTTGCCTAAGTACTCGGAGACCTAGAAAGTAAAAAAAAAACATTTTGAAAATAAATTTTTAGACGAGTTATCTAAGTAAGATATTTTTTTTTTCACCTGTTAATTTAATTTTATCTGTTTATCAAAGTATTATGATCATCTGGGTGGATGTAGTCCTGAGAAGGACTGTTTGATGGGACTGACGTTTCGACAACCTGAGCGGAAGTCATCTTCAGAGTTCTCAGGACTACATCCACCCGGATGATCATAATACTTCGATAAACATTCATTCACCTGAGTCCAGACCGTTCTAAACAATATTAAATTTATTCATTGCATGGTCTCCTCCAAATTAGCAATTGCTCTAAAGGGGGTCAATCGATGAATTTGAGACTTGCATAACGAAAGCAACTTACTAAATTTGTCTACTTTATAGTTAATGCACATTCATATTAAGGCGATGTTATATATTATAATATAAGTTGTATAACTCACGTCAGTTTCTGATCGTAAAACAGCATTAGCTTCTAATAAATTCAGTCGATGTTTGTTTTTTATTTTTATCTCCAAGTCAAGTTTAACCTTCTCAACTTCTTTGCTGTACTTTGCGATGGATTCCAATGCAATACACGTGTCCTTTTGAAAAGCAAAAAAAAAGGATCGAACTGTAATTTAATTAAATGACTCTGTGGTTATGCAATATCACGTGATGGCAGCCATGTTGGATGGCAGGAACAGTACTGACAATCGTAAATAATTCAATTTCCCAGACTAAAAATACTATGAGGTTGTTTAATCATCTAACATGACCGCACGTGATAGTGCAAAACCTCTATTAACTTTTTTTCTTGACAACTGATCAAGTCAGTAGTGGTTATTAAGACTGAAAGCTGAATTTGTTTTAATTGATAAAGAGCAAGCACTGTATCCATAAGACACAATATGACATAACTAGCTCTATTTAGTACCAACTAGCACTGATGAAACAATATTATTTCTATTTTACTATTTTGTTTCTATTTAGCACTAAATATATTTAGTACTTCTTCATAGACTACCTGTTTGTTCTATAAGAGACAAAATAGTCTTAGGAATAGGAGATAACGGGTAAAATGTGATCAACATACTGCAGCTTGCACAAATTCCCCGAGGGAAGTTCTCTGTTTCTTTAACCAGACTACAATGGGACCAGCATACTCCAATCTGTTCAAGGCAACTTGAGCCAACAATGCGTAACCAGCGGTCTCGATGTTACGAGCCTTTGAGCCTGCCTCCCAGTATCGGCTGGATGTTGCTAAATCAACAAAACCAAACACATAATTATGCGTCATATTATAAAATTCAATTTCATCCAGCGAGTGATGTATCTTCTAACACACTGGGAAATTGTTTTGTACAAATCATAGAATAAGGAATTACGATTTGCGTTGGGGTCTCTCACCTTCAAAATCTGTCTTCCCTGCAAATGAGTTGACTTATAACTGACAATGTTTTGGATAAAATTTCCAATCAACAAAACCCAAAAGAGAAATTATTTACACTTCGCGGTTGATGTTTCCCTGCTAGCAAATTCGATTCTCCATCGCGATTCTGGCAGGGAAGCAAGGGAGACTCTGCTATAGCAGGGAATTTTGACGTCTCCGTCGTCGATTTTGGAAATCCCCAGGCCAAATGTATCATCTTGGACGTTACCAGTTAAAATTAAATTAAAAATTCCAACAAAGGAAAGAAAAGAAAGAAAAAGGTATTAATTATACCTACTATAGTTGTAGGAATTGTCTTTTTTCCCCCACAGCAAACTTATCAATAGTAAGCTTTAGAAGTAGAGTTGCCCTACTTTCAAGCACATGGAGTCTACTGGCCATGGTAATATTTTTTTYATTTCGTATAACTAAACATAATATAGTATATTGAAAACTCACCTGAATTATACCGCGCCTTCTCAATTAGCATTTCGTTGCTTCTAAATCGCTTGGTGCTGTTAGCTAGAGTCAGTGCATATGTCGTAATTGCCAGGGTATAAGTATCAGTTATATTTGGAATTCTTCCCTCTAGAAAAGTTGTTGCACGCTGGAGAGATACGTCTTCTATCTTAAAGTAATAACATATTAACAAGTATCAAGATTTCCAGTTGTAAATCATAATTTGATACTAAACTTCCTCTACGAATAAATAATTTAATTAATATTAATGATTAATTTAAAGCAGTTCAAGTCTTTGTAGTGGGTTAGTGAGAATTGTCAGATGGTTTCCTTGCTTCTTATTGGTTGTAAACTATGTAGACAAAACTAGGAACTAGAAAATGTATCCCTCCTATGAATGTACCATGGTAACCATGGTGTTAGGGATACCCTTTTTTGTTTTTGGTGTCCCTTTGCAAGATAGTAGGAACTCCTTTAAGCCGTCTCGAGGTAACCCTTCCCTCTCACGGCTAAGGGGATCTGATAAGTGTAAATATACTCTAGGGAATGATTTAAAAACTAGCAAAATCTTTATTTAACACATATACAATTTTTTTTACCTAAGTGTTTGGATCGGCGCATGAAAATGAATTATTACCTAAATATCGAAAACACTTACCAATCCCCCACATTGACACTGTTTTAGTGCAATAACCACAGCTGCTGTGAAGCTGACATCACTTGTGTACACACCACCATTCAACTTTTAAGTTTAAAAACAAAAGTTAAATTTTTACAAGCGTCATTGTTATATGAGTTAAACTTTACAGTGTTTTATTGAGTGTAAGTTAGAGTACATAGGTACGTCATAATATTTGTTTTCCGTTCCACTCACTCACAACAACAAATTAGAGAAAGAAACGCTTTTCAGTAAACCGGGAAGCATTTTAAACCGGAAAATCACAGTTTGACGTTGAGACTGCTTAACTATTCAATGTGAATGTAAGTCCTTCTTCTTGTGTTATTATTCTTCGTGTGTTACTTACCAAAGAAACGCGTCGTCCCTCTGTATATACGCCATCATTTCTCTGTCTCCCAAGTATCCAGTTAACAGAGTAACACAAATCACTTTTATCAATAACGGTGTTTTTTAATTGCCTTGCTTGACAAAACGTTTTAACAACGAAGGCAGTTAACCTAGCAAAACAAGGGAAGAAGAATCTGGCTGTTGCTGTTGCTGTGTTTTGTTTGTTTGTTTGTTTATTTATTATCATCATTATTTTTTGCTGAAGGTTTGAGCTTATTCCAGTTTCGTTTATCACCCAAAAAACTTTAGATTTAGGTTGGTTTTGGAATGGTTTTTTGGCTTTCCTAGCTTATTGTTATCCTTGTCATTGCTGCTGTAGCTGCTGCACCTGTTTTCTTGTACCTAATGATAAGGCTTAATTTTGAAGGAACAAAACATTTACCTTACTCATAAACACTAAATAGATTTCTTACCATGTGCTTCCAGAAGACCCAGCATTAGAAGGACGAACGATAGAATAAGAATGATCATTTCCACGAAAATTTCTTTGATGCTTAAAACCTAAATAATAAATTATTGAGTTTAAAAAGGCATAACTTGTGCCAGCTTGTGTGCCCTGCGGAACCCGTGACCCGTATGAGATATATAGAGCAGTTTTCGTATGACTGTGAAAAGCTCAATGCCGGAAGCGTGCCGCGCCGTGACCGTGATACTTCCTAGAATTTTAATTGACTGATTTTTTTTTTCACGCGCAATATGATTGGTCTAAAAGTGCCGTGATCTTGACGTTACCGTGTCCGCGCCGTGTTTATGCCTTGTTTCGGGTATTTGATTGGATGGAGAGTAAATTCTCGTGCAATGTGATTTGTCTGGCGTATCCCTTGCTGTGTCACAACCGTGTTCGTACCGTGAGCTTTTCACAGTCATACGAAAACTGCACTATGTTTCAGTTTACCTTCTTGAATGTAGCTATATTTTTTATTCTCCGTTTCATTAGTTAACTGCTTTGTCGTGGTAAGATAGTAAAGGATGTAGACATTAGGCCCTATTAACGCCATGTTCGACACACCAGAACCATGTGGTAGCTTGAGGAGCTTTTCGATGTTTTCCAAAATTAAGTCAGTAAATAATCCAGTGATTTTGCCTACGTTGCAAAACATATAAGTCTTTCAATTATGCTAGTATTTGTGATATGAAAAGCACTTCTCATGCTCATTAATAATTCATGAGTAAACCAGCCAATCAATGGGCTATTTTTGGGTCACATGATGTTACTTGAAACCTGGTAAAGTGCTGTGAAAGGAATGCATTCAGTCTGGAGTAACTGGAACAAAATTAATTCAGTCCTAGGACGATAGGTCCTATATAGTCCTAGGACTGAATTAATTTTGTTCCAGTTACTCCAAGTCGAATAATTAATGAGATGAGAAGTCATTTCAAAGCCTCCAATATCGGACTGGACGGGATTTCAAGTCCGCGCAATTCGTTCCAGTCCTAGGCTGCGCCTCGGACTGGAACTAATTGCGCGGACTTGAAATCCCGTCCAGTCCTCATTGTCGGCTTTGAAATATTACATCAACCACGGATAGTCTTGTTTCCTACCTTTGAGGAAAATCTTTGCAATTACAGATGTTGGGATTGCGTTCCTTGGTAGTTCTAGCTTTATTTTGTTCATCTGTATACCTTTCGTGTGTGTTTCTGATAAAAAAGAAATTAATTATACTTTTTTTAATAATTAATAAAGATGTATGGAATATTGAAATTAATCAAAATTGAAGAAACAATTGTTTAAGGGCAATTAACATGAATTCTTACCTATGCTGGGAAAATGCAGCACTTCAGACTGATTTTTCCTTCTTTGATTTTTTAGATATTCTGTTGAGTCAGCAGTTGAGTTGCAACATTAACTTAAATACTTATCCTAATCTAAATATAATGCAATCACAATTCCTTGGTGGACATATTTTGCAACCCAATTGATAGGGAGATCGAATTGCATTTAAAAACGTTGTCTTGTTTCGCTTGTCTTTTTATCAAATTGTTTATCAAAAGTTGCCTTGATTAAGATAATTAAATTCAATAAATCCATGTATAGTGCAAACCTTTTGGATCAAGAACGTGCGACTGTGTTAAACTTTTTTGTTCCCCTTCAGGCTGTAAGTTAATATAAGGAACATTATGATGATTTTACTTTTACGTTTCGACCTGTGACCACCCTTCACCTTCTTCTTCAAAATGCTACTCCGTGTTTGGGCACACGAATTTAAAATTTAGTAATAGGGTGCGCATGGGATGGAAGAGTGAAGACAATGGAATTCTTTACTATCAAATTGCTTTGAATTCAAAGATCGGATATTACGATAGCGCGCATACATTTAAATTCTACTACGTTAATTATATGTATCTAGCAAAACAGTTCTAGGGCATCACAACTGAGTCTCCGATGCCCTCCGAAGGCGCAAAAAATAAAAAGGAAAAACTTATATACAGAAAATTTACACATACGCTCGTATATATGGTCTATAAGTTAACTAAATAAATCTTTAGTGCTCTTTTGAAACAGTCTACAGATGTTGAGGCGTAAGTATTTTGGTATTGAGGTTGCTCCACAGGCGTGGAATAACAACCTTTTCATATACCCTTAGTAGGAAAATGATGTTTCATACTGGATGTTTTACTGCCCCAGAAAATTATTGTATATTTAATATTGCCTAGAAACCTAGAAACGTAAAAACCAGACTAGAAAGTGTCAAGGGGCATCTTTTAGCTCTTATAGACTGTGTCAATTGTTTCAGGCAGCCAGTGCGGGCAATGAAAATATTATCTAAAAAAAAAACTTACTAATTATTTCTTCAATTGAATATCGTTGGACAATTGGAGGTTCGTGGCATACATGTTGGGGGATGTTCAAGGCATGTGGCACTTACTTGATATCCAACTCAAACTTAGAATTTACCTTTGTGGCACAGACAATGATAAAAATAAGTGATATTCTAATATTTTGGTGCAAACTATAATTACAAAATATTGACAAACTTACAACTACAAGAAGCTTCTTTAGGATTCGGTCATCCCCGTAAAAACTTCTCGCCGTCACCTCAATTGGTATCTCCCCAAATTTGATTGGCAATAAATTAATAGCATAGGAAACTGAACTTTCCGCTTTTACTTTAATCTTACTGGATGTCAATCTAGATGTTTTTCCTGGTTGAGCCACTGAGCAGAAGCTTTTGTCTCCTTTGAGATATAAGTAGACCTTCGAAACGAATAAAATATCGAAAATAATAAGTAAGGAAAAGGTGCAAAAGGGCAATAGAGGCTTTGCACCATCACTTAGTTTCCCAGGGGGAGAATACTCTATTGCTGTGCCTTCTGCATGGTGTCACCATGTCACCATGTCCCTGGTGCAAAGCCACTATAACACCCAGCGTCAGATTAAATTGGGATTTGGAGCAGATCGAGAAAAAGCTGGGGAACCTAGACAATTAAAAACTCCCAAAATTATATGAGGCAAACAATAAACAACTCTAACACGTGCGATCATGGGTTGCTCAAAGCATGGTTGAGACCATGGCCACACCAGCGAAGGACATCACAGAAACCCTCATCTTTGAGGAAAAGCGGACCTCATATTTAAACTAAAATATAGAAACGTGAAAATATATTCATGCTTACAACGACTGCACAACGACTGATCCATAGGGAGAGCCGGGGGGTCCGGGCCCACCTTTCAAACCTAAGTTTGAATTGATTGTTTCTTCCTAAAATCTATACGGTTTTTTTCATGTAAGGGTTTAAAGTTTTGTATGACGCATATCTTTCATTATCATTACCAAAATATCATATTTCTTGTAATTAAAAAGAGTTGCCAAGATGGTAATTTCCTCTCCTCGTTGTACAGAATATGGCATGGAAAGATGAATGAAGAAAGATTTGAAGGTTGTGATGTGAAGTGGCTTAGCGATACCAAAACCAGCGGAACTGGACACTCCTATTGCCTGCACCACCCATGTTGTCATGGTATCCGGTAAAGAAACAGGTAAGACCGCTGAACCACATTTGCCTTGAAAATCTGGTCGTATTTTTCTGCAGTCTTCGACTCTCGCACTTTGTCTGATCATATGAAAACATATTTAACAAATAAAACAGCTTTTTCTGTGCTCCCTTCAGTAATAAAGCACGCAGGATGTGACGTAAGCACAAAAGAAGTACGAGCCGTAGCTAGGCGAGTGCTTTTCGCACTTCTTGAGTGCTTACGGTGCTTAATAATGAATATTAAAAAATATATATTAATTTATTTTTTGAGAAAAAGTATACTTTTCTAGATAACGTGAACTCGATAAACAATGATTAAGGTACACATTAAATTACGTAGCCGAATCAAATGTTTGCAAATCTTATAATACAGATGATCATACTTCAAAGTTTGTCTGCGTTTTGCTATTCAGCGCTTGGCATTATTTTTTATCGAATTTCAAAAGTTTTTTTCCCCTTTTGAAATTTGAAAGTTTTAGATGGTATAACGGTGTGAAAAATAAAATAGTAATGTCAACAAAAAGTGATAAAAGGATACAAGTATTATATTCCAGCTGATACTGTCGGAGGACATTTTTTTCATCCCATATGAATCTGGTAACCATTAATATAACCTTATTGTTGTCTCTTCAAGGAACCACGTTCTAGGAAAATACTGACGAATCATTGGCGATTCTATGAGGTCCTCTGAAATAAAATATAATTTTTATTTACTCAAACAAACATAAACAAAAAACAAATTACATTTGTATGAGCGAGTGGGCGAGTTTATAGTGAGTGACAGTTTGGATCATATTTTAAATATTATATCGAATATAATATATATATTAATAATAAAATAAATATTATATCGAATATACCTTCAAAGCGTCCTAATAATTCTTCAAATGATCTTTTAGACCGCCTTCCACGATTCCCTGTACATCCACATATAATAGAACAGTAAAGTATACCTAAAGCTTCAAGCTATTTTCCACTACAACAAACTCATTTACTAAATATATTTATCTTAGTCAGACCTTTACTTTGGGCTTAAAGTTCCCCATTTTAACAGAATTAGGAATTTTCTAGATCTCGTTTTCTGATTGGTATAGAGCCGGGGCAAATAGGTGGACATACCGATAAATTACTTCAGCGAAACAAGCGCGCTTGAAAAAGTTTTTTTTTTTTTTGTGTACTAACATTGTTAATTTTCTGGGGTAAAAAAATTTTTTCCTCCAATTTTCCGTAGCTTGTCCTCTTATTTTCCACTCTTTGTTTTGTCATCTAGCCTCAGAGGCTACGCCTCGTGAGTCATTTTGACAACAATTTGACGGCTATATATGCCCTTTATGCTTCATTTTAGCTTCATTTTAAAATAGGAGAAATTGTGTTATGTTAGAGCACTTTGGGGGCGGTAAAAGTCAGAAATGTCTTCATTTTCCCTACAAACTTTGAAGTGTACTCAAATCAGTTACGCATTCATTATCTTCGTTAAAACTTACCTTCTGATCTCGTGGCTGTGTTTACGATCATATCACGAGAAATTACAACCATGCGGGCATTCTGATTAAGACAAATACAAATACAAATACAATCAGTTATGAGAATCATTTGGTGTAAGCACATATAATAATGATTTAAAGATTTATGGTCTATGGTTAATTAATGATTTTTCTTATAAAGCAAATGACCACATACTTTTTTATTTAGGAATTTAAGAATCATGTCTTTGGACGGATGGGAAGAAGGCAGATACTTCGTGAGGGTACTGGTGAAGAGTGCCCCCTCCCCCATTGACAATGATAATGGGAGGTTCTTATGTAGCGCATTTACACAATGTCTCAATGCGCTCTACATTTATTACCAGTGTAGAACTTTACGGGCTACAAATTAGACAATCCTGGAAAGGTCCTTTCTTAAGTATCATACCTGGAAAACATCTTTCGCATTTTTTCCACTAGTTTCTTCATCAATAGAAAAATCTTTTAACTGTTTAAAAACCTAGTCACAATAAAAACAATGTTATGAAAGTGCTTAAATATATTTTAAGGTAAGACTTCTTATTAATCAAAGCACACAAAAAAAAAGTAAATTAAATAACGAACCCACCATTCCAGGAGAGAGGATATTGCCGTTTCTTTGATAGTAGACAGTTTGATCAACACCAACTAGTGTAACAGTAGTTCCAACGGTACCCACAATTTTGAGATCGTATGGATTGCCTGGCAAGTAAACTGTTTCCTGGTGTGAAGGGACAATAAAAATCTGAAAAATTACAACAAAATCTATTTTTAAAAAACGTTGTCATCGGTCGGAGATCTGAAATCTGAAATCTGAGACATAATCTGTATACAAAAATTTTATCCAAACCTTTTTGAAATAAAGGTTTATACATATAAAGTTGTGAGTTCACAACATATATTTGTCTTTTGTTTTCGAATACAGAATTTTTGCAAAACGCTGTACATACGTAAATACATAAAAACGAGGTGTATTTTGAGGTGCAAGTTTTTTTATATTACCGGGTTTGGAAGCTCAGCCTCTACTTCCAGCAAAATGCTATCAGAAACGATTTTCCCTGTATTCTTGCTTACATAATAGGCAACGAGCCGAGCCGATGGAGACATTAATGGTGATACTTTGAAGGAAATCGTGATGGTGATACCAAACGTTTTATTTAAAGTCGCACTGTGGACAATTTTCCCAAGTGATACAACCTGGTTGTTTTAACAACAAAAAATCACATTAAAATGAAATAATATCCGTATCCAAACATATTTCCGCCATCCATTATTCCTTCCTCCCTTCCTCCCTTCCTTCAAGTTCCTTCCTTTCTTCCATTTCTTCTTTCATTCACGTATTCGATTCATCCATGCATTCGTAAATTATCGCCCCACGTTTGTTTACGATATATTTCCGCCAAACAGGTACATTATTAAAACTTATCTGTCTTACCATGTAATTCAAATGATTTACATTAAAACCCGTCAGGATCGCGTCAAAAAAAATGGTTGACCCAACCTACAAAAAAAAGGCGTTTTTTTCAATTTTTTAAATGACATAAATTGGATATATTAATTGTATTAACTGACATAATAATAGTTGGCTAGTGTGTCGTCCCGTAGTAGTGCCAAAAATTACCTTTGCAGGTCTAATTTGTTGCAATTGTATCATCTCAGTCGATTCAGAAGCAAATGCTATGAAGTTTTTTAAAGCATTCTGTGTCTTAAAAGTTTGCGATTTCGTTTCCACCTGAAAAAATGAAAAAGAATAACATAAAAGAAAAGTATTGAATACACAAGACGATGCACAAAAAGGAGCCATCTTGAGAAGAAAACAAAACAAAACAAAAACCAGATAAAAAGACAAGCCAAAGTATTTTTTAAATATCAAAGAAATCAAGGAATATAATAACTGCATTTCAACCTTTATATTTAGCCTTCTAGTTTGACGCGGAACATGAAGAGTGAATGAGATAACGCCTTTATCGTTTGTTGTGGCTCTTCCTTCTTTTGGTATCGATTTAAATGAGGTTCCATACGCTTTAACCGAAAGTTTCACTGGAATTCCATCAGCATTGTCTTTATTGGGATACGAAACTTTGGCCTAGAAATAAAAGAACATTTAAATTAAGGGGAATTCTAGATCACGACTCATGCCAATCTTAAAAATGAATAAGAAGTAATGACCTTTATTGGAAATGGTAATCCTGGTTTAAAGTATCGCGCTGTGTTGACGTACTCAATACGGTATGGTGTCGTCACGAAGTAGATCGAGTTCTCCACCGCTCTCTCTGTTTTGCCTGTCGACTTCTCTGTCACATCAGCCTCGACTTGAAGACGACAACCGTCTGGAAACCACTTGTCTTGCAATAGATTCTGTATGTGTTTTGTTTCAACTGGAAATGTAAATGAACTCTCATGGAACTAGGAAATAAGAGATAAAAATTAAGGATTATTGATTGTAATTACTATAAGTATAATCACAACCATAAGTGTACCAGTGTTCTATATGTCATAACAGACAAAGGATCTTTCTGGAGTCCTAAAATGGACAGTCGGACAGCAACCTTTCCCGCCACTTTTTTCCCATAGCCATATCTGAAATAGTAAATAACACAACTTTTAGAAGCAACTGATTGGGGGCGGGGGGATTGTGGGTTATAGAGGTCATCGATGGTGGTGGGACGACTATGATAAAGATTATTATTACCGGCCATGACATAGGCGGTGATGATAAATGATGATGAACTATCAAATATGTATGCCTAGAGATGATGACATTAACAATAGTAGTATTGATGAATGATTATGCACGATAAAAAAAAGGCATGGTGATGTTGGCAATGCCGTGATGTTGATAGTGTACGACTATATATGGCAATGCACACGATGATAATGATCATTAAAGGTACGCAGTGATGATGACGATGATCATGTTCATGATCATGGTGTTGATACGATTGAACAAAAATGGCCTGCTTTAAAGGACAGGTCGATTATGAGAGAAAATTGCTTGACCAAAAATCATGATTTACTCTTTTACTCGTATGTAGGTAGACCTACGCATCAACTGCGCAGAGAATTTTGGATCGCTCCCGAATATGGTGCAGGAAGCTAGGGGGCTGGGCTACCGACGATTATTTTGCCGCCATTTTTGATTTTGTTCTATTTGATTAACATTAACCCTACCAAGCAAAAGAAAAAAGCCGTCAAAGATCCGATAGAAACAAAATCATAAATGGCGGCAAAATAATCGTCGGTAGCCCAGCCCCCTAGCTTTCTGCTACGTACTTACTGGGCTTTGCCAGACACATTAAAATAGGTATCGGTAGGTAATATGTAGCGTGGACCTTTAACCATGACGGAGAACGTTGGCAGAACTGCAAATATAGTTATGTACATTTTGTGTTACAACTAGAAAACTCTGTTGGTGTAAGGGACTGTGCAATAATAATTAGGAGAGGGGGGGGGGGG